GTCACATGCTTGGTTGCCTTTGCAATAATGGCCTGAATGTGTCTAAAATTGGCCCCTGGGTAACTCTCAATTTGCAAATCTGGGATCGAGTGTGGTGGTATTCTCGACAAATTCGAGTCTCCAATCATGAGCCATTTACAACTAACACTCAAGCCCCAGTCGACCATTTTCCGTTCCGTGACAATGTGTCTCCTAACCTTGAATTTTTGTTGTCGTTGTCTCACCACAGGAGTGCCACCTTGTAGGGAAGCCTCCTGGGCTACGGAAGTTTCAACCAGTGGTGATTGGCCAGAGGCTGCCTGGTCCTCATCACTGTGGAATCCAACACTTGGGACTCCTACTACTTCGGTTGATCCATTCTGTGTAGCAGGATTCATCTGATTTCTTTCGGAGCCTTCCTGCTGTCTTTCCTCTGCAGATTCCCCCGCCAAATCCGCCAAAATAGCTAGGATTCTATCATCATCAAGGGGTCCAGTAGAAGACGAGGAGGAAGAAAAGGCAGGGGAACGCCTAGGCCTTCTACTCAACCTTCCCCGCACCGTTCTGCGCTCTTTGGGAGGTTCAGCTCTATGTTGCCCACTTGGACCCTCCCCAGGATCCGGTGACCAGGGCATCATCCCCTGCACCATTTCTGCTTGTGGGGTCATCCCCGTTCCACCCTCCTCAGGGCTGTCCCCTGTCATGGTGGCCACTGTGTGGGACTCCGGTCCTGACTGCACCGTCCTGCATTCCACCTCCACCCTCTGCTGTTGTTGAGGGACTGTGGTGGTGACCGCTTGGGTGCCACCTACTTGTGCATCCCCTGTTTGAGTGCAGCCATCTGTGCGTTCTCGTGCCAGTGGACGATCTGATGAGGCACGGACCATTTGTGGTTGGTCCTGAGTTACCCCTCTGTCAATCCCACATGATGCAATCATTGCCTCCGCATGCTCAATGGACTCATTTTTCATGCGTGGCAAGTTCCTGTGGGCCCACCGAGTGGCGACCTTGAAGGCCTCCTTCCAATCCGGGACAAGATCGTTGGCCAGTTCCGCCAACATTTTCTCCAACCCTGTCCGGTAATGGTCCTCCAGTATGATTAGGGTGTTATGCCCCCAGTTCATGGCATTTCCCAAAATCATATCTGTCGTGTGTACTGTGGGAGCTGCCGGTTTGATCATGTTCCCCAAGTGTTCCACCATTCGTGAAATGGTCCTAGGTTCGTCCTTACCCGGGGCTGGGGCAACATTTTGCAAATGGTGTACCATTTTAATAATCCCGTAAAGCTTACGCACTAACCCACCAAATGACGGGTCTGCTGGACGACGCTGATCCTGGTTCACACCCTGAAACTGTCGTCTAGGGATGAACCGGACAGTTTGGAAGGTGTTGCTGCGAGCAACCGATGCATAAGAGCGGGATTGTGGACCACGGTAGCGGGTGGGTCCTCCGGAGCGAGGCACTGGCCAGTTAGGGGAAGGGGACTGAGCCTGCCACCTCTGTGAGGCAGGAAATGCACGGGCCATCCCTCCCGAAGGAAACCCACCCTGCTGGTTGTCACGATTACGGGAAAGCCTCCGCCTTTTCCCGTATCGGACGACGGTCCAATCTGCTGAGGCCATCCGGTCCTCAGTCTTTGGCTAATTTTTG